ACCTCCCCCTGAAAACCTCCCCCTGAAAACCTCCCCCTGAAAATCTCCCCTTGAAAACCTCCCCTGAAAATCTCCCCTTGAAAACCTCCCCTGAAAATCTCCCTTGAAAACCTCCCCTGAAAATCTCCCCTTGAAAACCTCCCCCTGAAAATCTCCCCTTGAAAACCTCCCCCTGAAAGATTGTTCCCCCCTGAGCAGAGATTGTTGAGGAAGAGGAGAGGGCAGGCTAGCAGAGATTGTTGAGTAAGAGGAGATGGCAGGCTAGCAGAGAATATATATGGTTCTGGTTTTGCCGCCTCGTCATGGCATCGATTCACAGAAAATTTGCGAAGTTCAAAGGTTCGAAGTCAAGCCTTTTACTAGGGCCAAAAATTGCGAAAAACCAAGCACAGCATTGGGAAAACGATGGCATGGGAAAAGGTTTGGGATGTTTCATCCTATAACCATTCCCCTTTCGTTTCGAATTAGCACGATGTCGAGAGGGTAGTTACCCAAAAACCAAACTGAATATTTATTAAATCGAAACACATAGACAGTAAATGGACTCGAAAAGAGGCGAGACGATAGAATCCAATGGGAGATATGGTAGGAGAGCTGGGGGTCGTGGAAATTCTTGATGATCGATGTAGGGGTACAGTCGCGTAGTCGGGGGTCGCTTCAGGTCAGCTTGACCTCGATTTTGCCGGCCTCCTGGCACACCATCTCACCACCCTTGCTGGCCGGAAGGATCTGGAAAAACAGGGGCTGCTCGGTCATTATCGGGGGTTAGTAATTTTTAAAGATTTATATTATACTTCGCCTTTGGGGGTGGTTGGGGGGTGGTCAATGCATTAGCCACCCCGCCCCACCCCTTACAAAATTTTTTCATGATCTGGCAATAAAAGCTTGTTCGAGTCAGATAAGGTCCCTCAAAGACAATTGTTGAGATTGTTGTGGAAGAGGAGAGGGCAGGCTAGCAGAGATTGTTGAGGAAGAGGAGAGGGCAGGCTAGCAGAGATTGTTGAGGAAAAGGAGAGGGCAGGCTAGCAGAGATTGTTGAGGAAGAGGAGAGGGCAGGCTAGCAGAGATTGTTGAGGAAGAGGAGAGGGCAGGCTAGCAGAGATTGTTGAGGAAAAGGAGAGGGCAGGCTAGCAGAGATTGTTGAGGAAGAGGAGAGGGCAGGCTAGCAGAGATTGTTGAGGAAGAGGAGAGGGCAGGCTAGCAGAGATTGTTGAGGAAGAGGAGAGGGCAGGCTAGCAGAGATTGTTGAGGAAGAGGAGAGGGCAGGCTAGCAGAGATTGTTGAGGAAGAGGAGAGGGCAGGCTAGCAGAGATTGTTGAGGAAGAGGAGAGGGCAGGCTAGCAGAGATTGTTTAGGAAGAGGAGAGGGCAGGCTAGCAGAGATTGTTGAGGAAGAGGAGAGGGCAGACTAGCAGAGATTTCTTCGAAAGTTGACTCTTTTTACCCACATCGTAGTAGGTGATCTTCAGCATGCCCCCAGCGCCGGCAGGCTAAAAACGGTGAAATTCGCCAGCTTTGAAGGGACTGGGAGGCCAAATCCCTATCGATTCTTGCGAACAATCACCTTCTTCTGGATCTCAAAAAGTCGCGAGTCGCCGGTGGCCATCATGTCGGTGGCGGGCAGATTGGTGACGTAGTTCGTCGGATCGCTCAGCTCAACCTGAAAATGAAATATTGGATTTCCTCAACAATCTCTGCTAGCCTGCCCAGCTGTGTAAAATTCAAAGATGCCAGATTCACCGTATCCCCTTGATATTCACAAAAGGAATTGGGGCTGAAGCTTTCTTCGAAATGTTAATCGCTTTTTCCCAGCCGCACCGCCCTGTTACGTGCGGCTACAAATTTCTGTGAGGGCTGGGGGACATAATAACCCAAGCTAGGTACGGTAATTATGAAAATTACGTGAATTAAGAATAAAGAAAATTAAAAGAAAAGAAAAGAATAAAGAAAAGAAAATTTATAAAAGGACGGTTTGTTGTTGCTATTATACTGTTTAAATGTTGATAGGGTTTTAATATATTTTTTGGTTTTTCAAAATTTTTTCGTTTGCTAGAAAGTAATAAAAATATTTTTTAAATTTGGAAGGTTTGAAAATTTCTACAATTTTGGTAATTTTCAGAAATTCTGGTTTTTCGGTAAATTTTCAAATGATTAGTTTTATGTGCTTTTTATATCTATCGATTGGACCCAGCTATCACACCTGGATCATATACTTCTTGGTGGTCTTGTTGTTGAGGCGCAGCTTGACGGTACCGCCGCCCGGAGGGAATGAGGCCTGAAAAAATTAATAATGAAATTTGAATCCAAAAACGTTTAAATTGACATTTACAAAGTCGGAAATGAATAAATAATTGGATTTGACTTGATAAAAAAAAATAGAAAAACGATGTCATAAATCCAAATTAGCATACGGTAGCTGGGTCGCAAACGATCGGGGCGGCCATCGGGTGGGTGGACGGGTTTTCGAGATGAATTTTGATGGCGAGCTATCGAGTTTTGGCCAGAATCTATATGCTAATTATGCAAATCCGTATCCGTTGGAGAATATGCAAATGAGGTCTTCTTAAGATTGCCAAAAAAATGTTTCCACTAAAAACACAATTATATTGGGCCTCAAATCGGGCCTCAAAGGTACACACACACACACACAGATACACCCCAAAATTATATAAGGGATTATCTTTTCCATTTTATTAAAAATACGATTAAATACGACATCAAAAATAAAAATACAAACTAATTTAGTCTTGTAAATTTTCCCTTGCTAGACCCTTTAAGTGGTAATTACGAGTGGCCGGCTATTTTCTAGATTTCTTGGCTGCCACCAATTATCGGCTTTCTGCTAATTAGGTGCCCCGGATCGCGTGCGGCAAAAACCGGGGAAATTACGGTAAGAAAAGCTGCTAAATCTGGAAGAAATAAAAATGGTTGAAGGTTTAAAACGTTTAAAAAATTTTCAATTCCTGAAAATCCAAATATTTCGCATTTTTTTGCTATATTTGTATGTTGAATTTTGTTTGAAATATACTGAGAGTTTTTATGGCAGCTCAAAATATTATAATATAAAATAGTTATAGCAAAAACAAAAATAACCTCTAAAAAAGGGGTTAAAAAGCTAGTTTTCGATATGTTCGTCGTTTTTCGACATTTTCGATACGCCACTCGATAGAGCATCAAAAAATGTACTACGAGTTTTAATTTCAGCCTAAAATAATGTAATATAAAATAGTTACAGCAAAAACAAAATTTAAACGGGATTTCCCTATGGGAACAAGAGGTGCAAGGCTAGTTTTCGACATTCTTACAAAAGTTCTTTAACGCCATTCGATAGAGCGTCAAAAAATATACTAAGAGGTTTAAGCACAACCCAAAATAATGTAAAATAAAATAGTTATGTCAAAAACAATTAAAATTCGAATAACCGCTCAACCACTATTTTAATTGTGTAAATTTTTATTTTTATTTTTTTTCGCAATTCCCGGCCAAGTGATAGTAGCTGGGACCTAGGGCTACCGATTGGTGGCCTTAAAAAAATTTTTGAAACCTTCCGGCTGGGGGGTGGGTAAATTAAACTCTTGCCCGGGAATTGGCTACTCCGCAAAACGGTAACCATATTCGGAATCTGTCACTCAAGTCAGCCCCGACGACACTCAAAAACGTCTCCTTGTAAGTTAAAGGGGCTCGGCAGTTCGAACTCGTGCGTGCGGGGATTGAACCTACCGGTGAAAAAACGAAAGGTTCACAGCTCAGCAGACCCAAAAAAGTGATTTCGTTGGGAAAAAACGCAAGAATATTTGAGTTCTGTGTGCAAAAACGACTTTTTGAGTGCGCGGGGATTCCATGTCGTAATGCGTTGTCAGACAGCCAATCTCTCGATCGCGGTCATTCTCTGATCGATTTTTATAATTAAAAAGTCTAGAATGGTCAAAATTCGCTTAGGATTACAGAACTAGCTTCGGACAGAACACAACTAGCTTAAATTCAAGCGTTTTCACGTCCAAACAGCGGCAAAAGATCATGCGGCGCGGAGGCGTTGCGGTCGCATCAGGCTATTTGCCAGGAATCAACGCAGGAGGCCGCGGACCAGATGTCGGACCCCCTTTAAATTGTGAGTTTTGTAAAAAAAACCTTTGGTCAGAAACACATCGCAAAAATGTTAGTTAATGTCAGAAAATTAGAATCGTAGAGGCGTGCTCCGCATAAATTGTGACAACTGACAAGAATAAGTTTCAAATTTCAAGCATTTCAAAAACGATACTGGAAACTGGAAAAGTTATTTTCCCATGAGAAGTCGGGCAGCGATTGGCCGGTCCCAAGCTACCGTACCCCATCTGCGGAGACAAAAAAGGCGTTGCCAGGCAGCTTTTCCCGCTTCGAATCCCAAATTCCCACCCCTGGCCCTCTCCCCCGGCCTCAATTATAATTCGCGACCCCCGCCAAGCTTTTTCTGCGATTTGTAATTTGTATGTGTAGTTGGGGTGGGTTTATAGTTTCCCCACGGAATCGTAGGGACCATTTTTGATCGGCCGCCTATATCCTATCTAATCGTAGCGACGCGGAAAAAGACGCGAGGAATTTTTGAAACCACAGGGAGCAGCGGAAAAATTTTAATTTGACGATTCCGGCTCCGGAATGGGTGAAAATTTGCGACTAGCATAACAAGCATCGAATCTTATGAAAATTCAGCTTGGCTTTTGTTAAAAAGTGGCTTCTGACACAGAACAATTTTTTGTTGTTTTTGTTTCCAATTGCTCGATGGGCTTGAATAAATTTGAAACTTTCTAGATTTTTTTCTGAATTCTAACTTTTTTATAGTGGCAAACTTCAAAAAAATTTTTGAAATTCGAAATTGGTCGTAGAAATCTATGTATGGGATTTTTTTTAAGGTAACTTGTAAGTTTTTCGCGCCTAGAGTGGTAAAAAGAGCTTAGAAACACATCCGCTTAATAAAATAGTAAGGAAAAAGTGCCCCCCGATAATGCAAAAGAACCGCGTTCCAGGATGGACACACTTTTCCACACGGACTGGTGGTTCAACAACGCACATCCACCGTACCCCTCAATTCAACCACCCGACATTGAGCCACACCACTCTACGCCTCAAGATCAAGATGATCGACCCGAAATGGTAACCGGATTTAAAGGAGTTGTTTTGGGGATTACATACAAATATTGAAAATCATACGTGGAAATTTCAAAATGTCGAGATTCATAAAGTCGAATTTTCAAAATGTCGAAATTCACAAAAGCCAATCTCACGGAAAACTCCAACTTCTATGAAACAATGTCGACATCCTGAAATTTCGGCATACTAAAACTTCGACATCTGGAGATTTTGGCCTCAAGAAGTTTCGGCGTTTGAAATTTCGACATGATGATGATGTTTTCAAATCGATGTTTTGAGGAATTTCTAGCCGAAATCCCGACAGGCCAAAAATGCCGACATCGAAAATCCGGACATTTCTGGCATCCTTTCAGGCAGCTACTCTTCCTGCCGGGCTTTTGGCGTGTCGGCATTATGGCTGTCGGGTTTCTGGCGTTTACCCGTTTTTCAGCCCAATTATCCTAGCCAAATGTCAGGATCTCCAGAATTAAAATAATTCGTTTCGAGACTGGTGTTATAGAGCTTCAAATTTCAAAATGTATTATGGTTCTGTATTCGTGAAAATCACAAAAATTCTTTTCAAAACCAGAGAAACCGGGCGATTTTCAAAATAAGAGAATAAATAAAAATAAGTACGGAGTCCGTACCGGAAGCTACCGTTTACTCCCCTAGAAGGGGTAATTTAGGCTTGAAAATACAGTTGTTTCACATATCCGGAACGTCTGTCAGTTGTATTTACTAATCTCTCTTTCAATGGCGACTGGTTAATAATTTGCCGTAAGATTGTATTTCGAAAGATAGCTTTAGATAAGATACCCGAGGTTCTCTATTTTATCTAGAAATATCGACTTTTTCAAAATCAACCAATTGGTAAAAATAAGTGATAAAATGATATGGATTGCTTTCCGTAAGCCACCTCCAAAAAGCAAAATTAAGCTATGGAAAAAATCGGCGTTTCATATATTTGGAATGTGTAAAAGGAAACCGTCATTATTACTTTTACTTTTTGTCTGGTGCTGCCGGCTGGGTAAAATTTTGCGCAAAATTGTGTTTCAACACGAAACTTTAGTAAAACAGCACAAAACTCCCCATGGCTCACCTCTGGCTGCCAGTAAGAGTAAAGCAGATTAAAAAAGGTTCTTTCGCATTATCGGGGGATCTAATTTTTATCGTAAAACTCCATAAATGCCTAAAAACGTAATGACAATTATCTTCATACTTTTTTATAAAACTACCTTACCACTGCAAAAAAATGGAATTTTGGTGAAAAATCGGCCAAATCGTTATTCCCTGGATTTTTCTGAAAAAAGATTGTAACTTTTGTACGTTTAAGAATAGTACATACCAGTTCATAAAATAGGAGGAATCAGCCGAATAAAAAGATGTGTCACAGGGTTTATACATGGGTTGGTTAAAACTGGTACGAAGTGATCTCGTTTATGACCCCAAAAAAATATTCGAAGCGCGTGATATTTCTGATGCTTTGCTTTCACTTACACAACACGCTTTTCAGTATAAAAACCACTCGTAATTTAAAGTAAAGTAGAAATAAAAATTTAATATCTTGATATTTAAATTTAATGTTGTAAAAATCACCATATATTTATGGATTCTTTAGACGGATCTTCCGCCTGCCCGACCCAGCGTGCTCCAATCCACCTGGAATTACTCCTTCGATGATGCTGCATCATTACCTCCACCTCCCTCACAATCACAACTACAAACTATACAATCGCCATATGCACCGTATGATATCACACAACTACAACCTACAGTATTCCCTCTATTACCCGCGGTGAGTCCTCAACAATCTCTGCTAGCCTGCCCTCTCCTCTTCCTCAACAATCTCTGCTAGCCTGCCCTCTCCTCTTCCTCAACAATCTCTGCTAGCCTGCCCTCTCCTCTTCCTCAACAATTTCTGCTAGCCTGCCCTCTCCTCTTCCTCAAAAATCTCTGCTAGCCTGCCCTCTCCTCTTCCTCAACAATCTCTGCTAGCCTGCCCTCTCCTCTTCCTCAACAATCTCTGCTAGCCTGCCCTCTCCTCTTCCTCAACAATCTCTGCTAGCCTGCCCTCTCCTCTTCCTCAACAATCTCTGCTAGCCTGCCCTCTCCTCTTCCTCAACAATCTCTGCTAGCCTGCCCTCTCCTCTTCCTCAACAATCTCTGCTAGCCTGCCCTCTCCTCTTCCTCAACAATCTCTGCTAGCCTGCCCTCTCCTCTTCCTCAACAATCTCTGCTAGCCTGCCCTCTCCTCTTCCTCAACAATCTCTGCTAGCCTGCCCTCTCCTCTTCCTCAACAATCTCTGCTAGCCTGCCCTCTCCTCTTCCTCAACAATCTCTGCTAGCCTGCCCTCTCCTCTTCCTCAACAATCTCTGCTAGCCTGCCCTCTCCTCTTCCTCAACAATCTCTGCTAGCCTGCCCTCTCCTCTTCCTCAACAATCTCTGCTAGCCTGCCCTCTCCTCTTCCTCAACAATCTCTGCTAGCCTGCCCTCTCCTCTTCCTCAACAATCTCTGCTAGCCTGCCCTCTCCTCTTCCTCAAAAATCTCTGCTAGCCTGCCCCCTCCTCTTCCTCAACAATCTCTGCTAGCCTGCCCTCTCCTCTTCCTCAACAATCTCTGCTAGCCTGCCCTCTCCTCTTCCTCAACAATCTCTGCTAGCCTGCCCTCTCCTCTTCCTCAAAAATCTCTGCTAGCCTGCCCTCTCCTCTTCCTCAACAATCTCTGCTAGCCTGCCCTCTCCTCTTCCTCAACAATCTCTGCTAGCCTGCCCTCCCCTCTTCCTCAACAATCTCTGCTAGCCTGCCCTCTCCTCTTCCTCAACAATCTCTGCTAGCCTGCCCTCTCCTCTTCCTCAACAATCTCTGCTAGCCTGCCCTCTCCTCTTCCTCACATATTCACGCGGTTCAGGTTGGCAGTCAATAGCCTAGAAAGTGTTTTTATATTGTTTTTGGCTCGTTGCAGTCATATTTAGAGTTAAAACTATGAGAAATTTTGGAAAATCCCACTTTTGGTCTTTTTAGGCCGAAAGCACTGTCTTGTGCCTATAAACTTTACATTACACGCATATAGTTTTCAAACATGTTGCAACACATCCACGATTCACTGATAAAAATTTGGTCTGCTCCAAAAACGCCTGGAGTGGAAAGTTGGCAAAGATCCGACACAGTTCACATTCAAAGCTATTTCCAGGTTCCGGGCATGCTAGCAAGATTTCTGAGGATTTATATTTTCCATTTAAGGTGTATTGATTTACTTCCTACCCTCGAGCCGATTAATCCACACTCGTTAGCTCACGGCTCCCCCAAACTTCACCCCCGTATTTTCCCATGGGTACCCGGGCAATAGCCTCCGTCTTTCCCTCGCCACTCAACAACCTCTGCTAGCTTCCAGCTACAAGCCCCTACAAAACATACTTTTCGTTTCACCGATTTCGTACCGTGGCGGATTTAACAAGTTAACCTATAGAAATGATGTTTCCAAAAAAATATTATAACCGATGCGTTGAACTCGATAAGCCTCAAACTTGTTTTCAATTTTGGAATTGTTGTTTTGCAGTATCTAACGGGAAGTAAATCCTACCTTATATAATTTTGGCGTGTAACTGTGTGTGTGTGTGTGTGGATGTCACTTTCGAGGCCCGATTTGAGGGCCTTCCTGTGCATAAAATGCTCTAATTCTCCATCGCTTGGGGAAATCGACCCTTCTGTTTCCAACGGCGCTTTCAGAATTTTGATAAAATACAAGTTTACAAAGTTAAAGCCGGTTTTATTCATTTTTGGGGGTAATTTGCATAATGTGAAAAAATAGAAATTTCTTCATTCTTGCAAGTTGCACGCGCGCGTGTGGTCGGCCGGGGGGAAGGGGTCCGAAGGACCCCAGCTATCGGAAAGTCAAATTTCTTATGCAAAGGCCGCATTCCAGCGCCCAAGGCCCGCGAAGCGGGTTTTGGGCGCTGGTTTATAAATAATCGTAGAAATCCATACGAATCCACAGATAAAAAAATGGCTGGAGCTCAGTTGCCCGTCCCTTTAAATCAAATTTTGCACCGAAAATGCACCCGCGCGCATTAATTTTTTCAAAGTCGATCAAGACCCAGTTTGGAAGAAAAATATATTTTCGAAGCAAACAATAATTTTGTTAATAATAAATCATTATAACTTTTAAATTCTAAAACTTCACACACTGTTTAAAAAATTTGGGTTGCCAATGTACGCTCTCAAGCGAATGAGGGAAGCGCCAGTAACTTGTTGCTCCACCGAATAATAAAATCTTAATTTCTGAAACAATACTTTACAATTTAATCATCATATTTTTTAGTTTTCACTGCCGGAGCTGGAGTTTCAGCCGCCAAATTTTGAGATGGTGCCGGAGACGTCGGCGGGCAGACCGTCGGTACTCGCCCACGGTTCCGATGTCAGCCGGGTTCGTGCTTTAATCGCTTAAATAATTCGAATAGAATTAATTTAATAGTTCGTTTACTAATAGCTAATGTAGAAGAAACGATTTTGTGACGGATCGATTCTATTGTACAATATAGCCGGGTTTTTACATTTTGGTAATTCTGTTTCCTGAAAAATTAAAAGCTTCGAGTTTCAGGGTGTTGGACAGAATATTAACATTCTTTCCTGTAGGTCCAGAAATGGATAGCAATGACATAATAAGTATTGGAATAGTTTTCGGCAAAATTAACTATATTTCAGGTGGGAAACCATAACAAAATTAACAAAATTTTGAAAGAATATAAAATTTTGTCAAAATTTTTTTGCATTGTTTTTAAAACCAGTTTCTAAAGCGTCTAGGTAAAAAATCAATATATAAAAAGGGACCATAAGGAACCCGAATTCAATTTACAACCCAAACACTAATTTTCGCACTTACAGTACGAGCCGAACTACAACTTCCCCTACTACGCCACACGGGTGTAAGTTTTGGCAAAAGTTAATGGGGTTTTATTTTTTTTTATGTACAATCAAGGAATTGAAACTTCAGAAAATCTAGAGCTGTCTGAAAATTGATGAAGCCCATTTTTTACAATCATTGATTTGGCGCGTAAGCAATCTGGCTCTAATTCGAGTTTTATTGAGATTTAAAAAAAGCTTAAATTATAGACGGTTTCATGTTATTTTATTTGAGAGCTTTACAACACAACAATGGATCTTATCGCAAATCATTTATTTATCGTAATTAGACCCCATTATTCTCAGTTTTCACGAATTTAAAGGGACTCGAAAGGTCGGTAACCTCACTTTCATGTAACAAGTTTTTTCCGATTACATAACTAAGATTTTCCAACATTCAAAGAACATTTTCCTAAACATTCAAAAATTTACAGAATTCACAGAGTTTAAAATTTGGTTTTTAGATTTTCAAGGTTGACAATTAAGCATCTTAAAAGTTTGACGATTGATAAATTGACAATTAGGTAAGACGTCAAATCTAACAACACTTCGAATTAAGTCTAAGTTTCGTGTTTTCTTCCAATTAGGCTATGAAGCACCTTTTTTACAGGGACGAGTTGCTCTTCTCGCAGCCAATTTTTGGCAACATCGATCCGGCCGTCTATTTGGGGGCAATTAAGGTAATTTATGATCCATTTCTAAGAAACCTGTTACCAAAATGCCGATTGCTCGAATCAAAAAATTTCCCGAAAAAAATACAAAAATTGGGTGATATCAAAAAATTCGTGTTTTCATATCCACAAATTTGTTTGCTTTAAAATTTGTATTTGTAATTGTAATTTTTACAGAAAAGAAGGTTGTTTTTATTGGAGTAACCATATATTTTATGATAATTCCTACAATAGGACTTGCACCTCGATCTTTTTTTTCTTTCGATTGAGGCGATCGTTCTATTTCAATCATTTCACAGATTAGAAACTCATTTTACAGAAAGACAAGCCGGCGGAAACAAAATTAACAGAATCAAGGGAAACATCAGGATCGGCCGTCATTCCCAAAGAAGAAGTGAAGACGCCACAGCCTGAAAATCCCGATTTGCCGGTTGGTTGCTAGTCGACTTTCTGCAAAGAATCACTGCCAGCTTGCCAAGCATTTTGAGAATTTAAGGCTAGCAAAATTCATGGCTTTGCCTTACACGCTCCTTGAATTTAGACGTTTCGTTAAATTTTTACAGCCCAAACTCGAGATTGCGACAAGGGAGTTGGATTCGCCGCCCGAAGGGAAAAACCCGGCTGATTGTCAGGTAATTATGGAAGGGATTTTTTTGCTATTTTCTCCCTCGCGCTCTCCCTCTCTCTCGCTCTTGCCTTTACCTACAGTTGTCTGATCAATTTTCGAAACATTTTGCATCTTGAAAATTTTTGATCTAGGTCGGTTTTGCAAATTTTCAATCACCATTTCATTAATTTAATTTGATGCCTAATTGTAAAAATTATCATTATAGCTACCCTACCACTTCCAGGTATGCCGTTCGACCCAGGCGAACGGGCTGCACTTTGGAGCGCGGACGTGTGCCGCGTGCGCCGGTTGGATTTTTATCTAATTTTATTGATTATTTTAAAGGTTTTCCCATTATTCAATGTTTTATGCAATTCTCTCTTTGCTTTTTTTAGTTCGACCGAAAAAATAATGTTGCTTGAAAAGAATGAAAAAACCACAATTATCTTCGAAGGTACTCGGGCAGGATTCCGCATGTTAAAGTAACAAGCCTTAGTGATTTAAATTAACTTACATAATAACTTAATTATTATGTTGTAAAACGAAACATGAAAATTGTCCTTTTTTTTAGCCTTTTTCCGGCGCACCATCTCCGACGCCAAGAAGTACATCTGCAAGCGCTCGCAGCGCTGCACGACGGCTAGCAGGGATGGTAGGAATTTTACGCTGATTTGCACGAATCAATTTTAAAAGACAAAAAAATACTTCCTAAAAATAGGCCCTCAATGAAAGTAAATCCTTAGAAAAAAATGCTGGCATTTGCTGAAATGCTAAAAATGACTTCAGAAAATTTTACCGTTTTTTAGGATACCGAAAAATCTGCCGTGCATGCCGGCTGAAGCGCTGTATGGAGTGTGGGATGTTGCCGGAGAGTGAGTTGTACTAATTATCCAAAAAAGGCCTAAATTAATGTTGTCTTTTTAATTGGAGCCTGCGGATCCGATTCTGTCTAATCTGCTGTCGCACGGTTGCGAAAACCACTCAGTTTGGAAATAGGCTCAGAAATAGTTAGTAACACTATACTAGTGAGCATCTTAATAGTATTTATGACAAAATTTAACCATAGTTGAAATCGAGAATTTATCTAAAGATTTATCTTTATCTAAAAATTATCGAAAATAATTGAAATTCGAGATGTTTTTCGAAAATCGAAAATTTTTACACGAAAATTTATATTTTTCGTAAAAAATCGTAAACCGAATCGTCAAAAATTGGATGAGCACTTGCTCCATTTATATTAGAAAAAAAAATTGGAAACTGGAAAAAATTTGTTTACCCTGATAACCCTCCCCCCCCCACCCAATAATGACTATCCTATAATTTTATATAGAGACTGATGTGAGATACGTTTAGCGGTTTCTAAAATTCGATACGTTGGTTTAAGCTTAAAACATGTCTTTCTAGACGTCCAAAACAAGCGCCACATCCCGCCCACCCCTCCACTTCCAATTCCCGGCGGACCGTTACCTGGTAAATTATAACCCTCTTCTATGATACACCATTAAAAACTAATAGATATTTTTTGAATATACGTTTGAAGAAAGACTTTATATCGAACTCCTAGGCTTGACCGCCTCCGCGTCGGCCGCCCTGTCGGCGTTGCCGCAGATCACCAGTGGTGAGTATTTGGGAATTAAATAACACAACTCTGTATACCTCCACAAATTTCGCATAGATCAGGACGTGTAATCAGTAAGTCAAGTAAGTCAGGTCCGTAAATGGCGTAAGGATGAAACGTATTTTATATACCAGATTCGAAACATTATTTCTCGTGACAGATGGTATAAGATTTTCTACATCTTTCGCGTCGGTAATAACATTAGAATTTCTTTTTTTAGCACCAAATGGTTCCAGTCGCTTCGCGACTGTAAACATCTGGACTTCGGGCGACCCTTCATGTAATACACCATCACATACATACACCTATACCAAAATACCCCCCCACTGGCTACAGACACCTCCCATGCCCGTAACGCCCTTAAAAAGCTACTTAGATAGCTTCTTGATGGCTTTAGATACTTTAAAGGATTAAAATAATGAATTACAATAATTAAAAGTGTTAGCTAAGAAAGCGCTGGGCACGCGAAGAGGCCTGGTGAAGGGGAGCTGGGGGAAGGGGCCGTTGCCGGCCAGGAAAGGGGCCCCCACTCGTTTTATTCAGGCGCCACTTTCAAAGTTAATTATTTTTAATTAAACGAAAATACTTTTTATCGGATTGGGGGTTTCTGACTACGCTCTATCCGAGGCCAAAGGGACCTAAGCTGTAGCTCCTTTCCCCTTCGAGTTGAATACGGCTTCAGACGCATGGACGGACGGGCGCCTCTAGCGAATTATTATACCCTAAAACCTCGTGTATAGGTCCGGTACAATTTGGTTCCGTACCAATACAAATGACACCAAATAATGTGCGTAGGGTACAATTCGGCGCAAAAGCTATGTAGGCCAAAAGAGCCGGTTCTCAGAGCCTCCTGCAGCAATTTCTTTCATTAAACCACTCAAATTGTTGGAAATAGCCGAAATACGAACAAATATTCCATCAAAATTGCAAAAATACCATTCGCGAGCGGCGTTATCTGCAAGAAACGGCAAAAACGAAACACACCTAATGACGGTCAAACGGAATTACGGACGCTCCGTACTCATGAAAATTTTCACCCGGAACTATACACGGGGAGGACCTATACACGAGGTTTTAGGGTAGTTGTTAGAAAGGCTAAAGCCTAGTTTACCCCCGCCCCCCTCCAGCCCTAACTTTTCAGCCATGCGTCCTATTAATGCGTCGAGCATCTCAAAACGTTCGCCGTGGTTGAATTACTATAGCCAAGTTGTTTTCTTACATATAAAATTGTTAGAGGATTTTTTTACAAGATTTTGAAAGTTGAAAAGATTAAGCCGCTATGCTTCGATGTACCAAGAGTCTAAAACTTATTTTCCGCAATTTTTTCGATTCAAACGCACTGTAGTGATTCTCCAGAGCAAGACTCACTTTGGAACAGCAAAAATGAACTAAAGAAAACCCGGACTTATAATTGTTATAAAAATTTTCCGAACAATTTTTGATGTAAGGAAACAACTTTTTTATAGGAATTCGACCACGGGAAACATTTTGAGATACTCGGCGCATTAATAGGACGTATCGCTGAAAAGTTAGGGCTGGGGGGGGGGGGGGTAAACTAGACTCTTACCTAAAATCTCTTGCTCAGAGCACGCATTAGTGCAAAAATCGTTCGTATTGTCATTTTCAGACCTGAAACATTTTTGAGCGAAACCAGAAAAAAATCGGCGTGTCGAGAGCCACGAATACAAAATGTTTCAGCCTCTCTCATAGACGGCGGCATGCTAGGCACCTTCCCCGCCGTTCTCTGCCGGCGGCTTCTTCGGAGGAGCATTTGGTCAGCCACAGCCTCATCCTCCCCAATTTCCATCTCAATTCCACCATATGCCCGTGATACACGATCTACCACATCAACAGCCACCACCTCCACCTCAATCTCAGAATTAAATGTAGCATAAGGTCGAAATCTAAATCGATAATTTGCGGATTATATATATCATCACCGACTCAATTTTATCCATATTTATCGAAATTCGTTAAATTTTTACATTTAAATTAGTACGCAAAACCACAGAAGGTCCGCGACTAAAATTACATCAACACTTCTTGGGTTATTAAAAACAGCGTCAGGAACAGCAAAGTCGCAAATCGAATGTTTCAGCAATATTGCTGGCACGGTTTAACCACGGTACAATAATTACCAATCGCATCTTACGCGCATTAATAGCAGCGATTATCGAATTTTTAAAGTTATCTTTGATAAATCGCGTAATAAAAGAAGCATTCTTCTACGGAGAAATGAAGGATTTTCAAATGGGTTCGATCGAAACTTCGTAAAATTCGCATATCTTTTCAAATTAACGATTGATGCGTGGTGGAAATCAAAGTTAAAAGGTATATAAAATTCCTCAACGATCTCTGCTAGCCGGCCTTCTCCTCTTCTTCAACAATCTCTGCTAGCCTGCCCTCTCCTCTTCCTCAACAATCTCTGCTAGCCTGCCCTATCCTCTTCCTCAACAATCTCTGCTAGCCTCCCGTCGTTGTCTCTTCAAATTCTCAAATCGTCGGATGCTTTGCGAATTCCAGAGGGAAAGATAGCGAGAGAGAGAGAGCGAGAGAGAGAGAGTGAGAGAGAAAGCGAGCGAGAGAGAGCGAGAGAGCGCGTGGGAGAGCGAGCTCTATTTATTGTTTTTTAGTTGTTTTCGGCTGTGCAAAGTACTGGGATGGATGGAATCCAATCGTTTACAACAGCCTCCCTCCCCCCCCTTCCCCACCAGTCCGATACGAAATTAATGACGATGGATGGATGGTCGGCCCAAAAGGCTCAACACACTCCCGCCGGCTTTTCGCCGCACCTCTCCCCGCCCAACCACTTTTCCGGCCCGCAAAACGGGCGTTCCGCTTGAGGTTTTACGTTTTTTATGATTTTTGGGGCGCTGACGCTTGGTTCGAATTTTTATTTTTATTTTTATTTAATTTTTTCATGCCAGGGTTCATCGCTTCCCCATTTCCGGCGTATACTAATTGATTCCTAACAAAGCTTTGGCCAAAAATTCTACAAAAACCTAATTTTGATGTCGAAAATAGCAAGTTAGATAGTTAGTTTTTCGGGAAACCACGGTATTTAACGAAATCGCACAAAAAAATTATATTTTTAGTTTGTTTTAATTTAATGGTTTTAATGCCAATTCATTTTTAGTTCTGCTGTTTTCATGAAAAATTACCTGATCTAGTAATTTTTTGTAACCACCCTTTCAGCAATGATTTTTTCGCAACATATTTTTGCCAAAATTTTTTATCCGAAGACATGCTTGAAATCACAAATACCGCGTAATTATTGTACGGTTTTAATGAAGCTGTCGTATTTTGCTGTATTTTATCGTATTTTATCATATTTGAATAAATCAAAAACCCCCGCCCCGAAAATGCACCAGGGCAAAACATATTTGTTTTCGTCTTCGAATTTCTGCTTTGACCCCGACGACGACGTAATATGTTTTTGAGCAACGGTTTTCCTTAAAATTTTCACAAATACAAGCTTCGACTCACAATATGTACCGCGTAATTTTTGTACGTGTTTGGGTACAATTCAAATAGGCGGGGGGATTTAGGCGGGGGGAAACCAACTTTTTTTGTCGGGCCTGGTGGGGATAGTAATCAAATATAAAGTGTTTTCACATTGTTTTTTAGCAAAATTTAAGCCTATTTGAATCGGAAAAACTTTTTAAAAAGTTAGAAAAACGCTTGTAAAAGTCGAAAATTTGGTCATTTTTGAGCCGGAAAAATTGACTTTTCGACCTAAAATTAAATTTTTTAATTAAGTTTTGTAAAGTTTTTATGTTTAGGAAAAGCTATAAACAATTTAGAAACACTTCCACTATTTATATAAAAAATATAGGCTCGGGCGGAAAAAAATAAAAGTTCGGTTTCCCCACCGCCTAAATTCCCCCGCCTATTTGAATTGTACCCGATTTTGATTAACAAAAAGCTTATTTAAAAATCTCCTTTAGATTTTAAAATTAAAAATTCTCAAGACATCTTTCAATTGGCTGATGGCCCTATTTGAGACTATGAATTCCCACGTGAATCCCCGCCTGAAAAGGACTGCAAGGCGAAACATTTTTGGTTGGTT